CATTAGGCAGCTTTGAAATACTTTTAGGCAAATAACACAATAAACACCATTTCCAGCACTGTTCAGTTCTGCAGGGTTAATAGAATGCTTTGGTAAAAATACTTCCAGGTCATATTAGGGGCTGAAATTGGACAGAAATAATAACAACTGTTCTAGTTTTCAGTTCCAGTTCTTAGAATTTGCACAACACCTCCAAAAATTCATTTACAAGCTATATTCGAAAACCTGTTCAGATTTGTTACCCTTTGAGAAAACTAGTTTTCCTCGCAATCCACCAATGATTTTCACCCAAATAAATTCCGTTGGAAAGAGGACTCAGAATTCTAAATTTGACAGAGAACCAACATGAGATGATTTTTCTAGAATTTATTAAAATTGAAAGAAGTGGACTTTTTTTCAGAGACTCAGGACTGATTTTTTAAAACAGAATATTCCAAGCCCTAAAATCACAACAAGGAGTGGCTAAATAAAATTATCACAAGCTTTAAAAACACCAAATATCTACATTAAATTCAGATTTGAGAAATAAATAGGTTTGATATTTCTTTAAATTAGAGAAGTTGCAGCAGTGCATAATTTGACAAATTTATAAGGCAAAATCACTAATCAAACCCACACTTTCATCCGCATCAAAAACCCTATTTACACATTAATATGCCAACACAAGAGGGCATCTAGGACAATAGGATGAGATGGGTGAAAAGAATTGGAGAAGACATAGAAGGGGTGTGTTCTTACATTAACTCAAGAAATCAACTTTTCTTCTTCTTCTTCTTCTTCTTCTTCTTCTTCACTTCCTTATAGTTCACAATCTCCTCCTCTCACCCTCTCCTTGGCTGCTTGAAAATATGTGTAGGGAATGTGGAGAAATGTTCTCAATTTGTAGACAAGGGATTTAGGTTGAAAAGACAATTGTATCCTCCTACTCATTATTGTTTTTTAATGGTTTAAGAAAATTATCTTAATGACTAAGGAAGGCATAAATTCTAGATATTTTTTATTTTTGTTTTTCAACCAATTTTCCACCAAAAATATATTATAATACCTATGTACATATTCAAATAACAATAATATTCTATTCAAATAAATAATAAATGAAAGAAACAAAAAAACAAAAATAAAATAAAATGTATGAATTAATAATTTCATAAACTAGGAGGTAAATAAATAAAAACCAAGTTTTAGGTTACTTCCAATTATAAAGTGATGTTCCATGATTGTTACTTATGATAATATTATGGGAAAAATTATCCACTACAACAAAAACACATTTTAGTGGCACTACACTAGTGGCATATTTTTAGAAATGTCACAAAAAATAATATGTAGGCATGTTTTGAAAAATGCCACAAAACGACAAACATAAAAAAGCTCTTGTGACATTTCAATAAACAAGGTGTCACAAACACTACAACAAAAAATACACTTTAATGAACACTATTACTAAGTGTAGACACCCATTTTTGACACCCCATAAGACTTGGGCGTTACTGATGGTTTACTTGGTGATGAAAGGTATACAGGGCAAAGGTTCAATTTCTTCGGCAATGAGAGGGTCAATCCCAACTTCACAACCCCATTTTGGACCAAAGCTATTTTGAATGGTTTTTAGACCTTAAAACCCTCTCTTTCAAAACATTTTTGAAATAAAGTTTTCTACGATGTTCCGAAGCTCACATTTTGTCAAAAATGCGTTTTTTCGAATAACCGAGCAAAGACAAAGTGGAAATGAATGAAAGAGAGATGAAATCTTTTGAAAAATCTTTCAAGACACCTTGCTTAGGGTTTGAAGTTTGAAGAAAAGAGGAGAAGAGGGGGAAAGCCAAGTTGGAGAAGAGATAGGCCAGAATTGCTAAGAGAGGGACGAACAGTCCTCGCTAAATCAAGCTTATTTGTCTATACACTTTGAGTTAAGCTAGAGGCCACCACCATTGGAAATAAGACTTCCAGGGCTTCATTTTTCATTCAAGAATCTCTTAAATCCGAGACCGGAGGGCGGAGATATGATTGGTTGAAATTTGGGCATCATCCCGGTTGGACCGAAACTGAGCAGCCTCACTAAAACAAGCATAACTTTTTTACTCAGTTGGAATTTTTGATACAATTACAAGGCTGGTGCATTGGAAATATTACTTTCGGGCTTTTCAATTTTGACACCAAGAATGACCCAAAACCGGAGTTCTATATGGAAGAGTTATGCGCGTCCCGGTGAAGTGGACCTGCAGGAGCTAGATTTTTACTGCCGACGGCCAAAACAGACGCCCCATGTTGCGCCGACCGCCAATAGATGCGCGCAAGTTCCGACGCAGAAAAGAGTGCTGACCACCAATTTGCTAGCCGATGACCCTTCGGAGTATTCTTACAGAATTGGAATGGATGCCAGCTTGTGCCAGCTAGAAGCACAGATATTGCTCCCCATGCACGTGGTGGTGACTGTTTTGCACCTTTGCACCCTTTGACCCTTTCGTGCACCCTTTTGCTCAAGTTCTTGAGCAAGCCTTGACCCCTTTCGTTGGCTTCCCCAAGAAGCTTACCAGCTGTCACCTAGCTTCTCCAATAAGCCTTGACTCCCCTTTAAAGCCCCTCCTTGACCGCTTTGTAGCTTGTCTTAGAAGCTTAGTCTGCCTATGATAAGGGCGCTCTCTCCTCCATTAGGGGGTGGATGTTTTGAAACAAAAAACCAGAGGATTTAGACTAATCTGAATATATACATACGATATATCCCTCATCTTCACATATCTCGCCATTCAAACCATCAACCCTTTTCTGGCGCATTCTTTCATCAACTCATATGCACAAGCATCCTTACTCATTCACAACTTGAGGCTGTCTTCAGAGCAGGAGCACTAAACTTGGTCCAAGAGGATGCTGGTTTGCTGTCTTCAGGGTGATCCTCCTCTTCCTTTTCTAGTCTTTTCTTTGCTTCAATCTAAGCATAGTTGCTTTACAATTTTGGGCTCCGACCCAAACTGTAAATCGATCATATTTTGAGGTCTCTTCAGTGTTTGATTGAGGACCGTCTTGCTGTTTGAGGACAGTAGCTTATCTTCTTACTAGCCGCTACCATTTTAATACATAATTTTGCAATAATATTTTTGTGCTATGCGTGTGATACTGTTTGGCAATATTATAACTGTGAAAGTTTGTTCTTTGGAGTCTTCTTCAACATTGAAGAAGGCTCAAACACTGTTTTGGTACCCCTGTGCTACCTTGCTTTAAATCAGGTGTGTTAGCCCATTTGCATGCTTATTTAGCCTATGTTTACCTACTGTTTTGGCCTATGCTTTGACATATAAAATAATGCTTTGTTTTTGGGGGTCCATACTTCTGTTTCATAGCTTCATGTCCATATTGTGCATGCTTTGTAATAGCTGTAAGCCATTTCATTGTACCTAGTTTGCATTTCGGGATAATTCCATGCATCGAGTGTCAATTCGCCTTGTTTCGGGGCTGTTTTCCCCCTCATTTAGCCTACTGAAATTTGCATTGTCTGCATATCATATCCCATGGTTTTGCCATGTCTGTTTAGAGTGGCATTCCATGCCTTAGGTCGGTCCTCGAGTTTACGTGCACGTGTCAGCACATTTCGAGGCGTCTCATTTTCATCTTATGCCTCCTATGTGAGTGTGGCTGAGGTCCACTTGATATGTGTAACGCCCATCTTGCATTGTGTATGCCATGTTTCAAAGCGTTGCGCATTATATGTTTATGCATTGTGTATGCCATGTAGTTGCATAGCATGCTTTATCTTGTTTACATACCTAGGTGCATTGCATGCATGTCATGATAGCATGATTACCATGAGGCTAGTTGCTTACGTGATATTACTGCTTGAATGCCTGTGGATGGAGGTCGAATTGCTTAAATTGGGATAACGCATTAAAACTGTGAATTTTAAAGCCCACTAGATAGTGGCAAAACCATCTTTTCTAAAAGCCCACTTGAGGGTGGCAAAACCTGCATTTTAGCCTACTTGCGAGTAGCAAACCATTTTCAAAACAAACATGAAATGTTTTGTTCCAATTTAGGCGATTTGGTCTATACTTGTTTGCTGTGCGCATAACATAGTAATTCTAGGCTAATAACCAGAATAAGAACACATAAACGTTTTCAAAACAAAATATCACGGTTAGTAGAGGCCGATCTTCGGACCGGGCGGGAGGGGGTGCTCATAGCTGACCTTCCCCGATCGTACCCAAGTTCCCGAGCTGAGGCAACTTTGGTGATGACGGACACGTGGCCTTTGGCACCGAGTCAGGGTTTCCTAAATTCTCCCTTAATAAAATATTTAGGTGGCGACTCTGTATCTGGCAAAACAGTCCATGTTTGGCACTTCTTTCAAAATCTGTTTTCTCAAAACGATTTGCCGAATTTGGACTCTTTGGTTCAGATTTAGAACCGTGACACAAATCGAGTCCGAATTGTAGAGCGAGGTCCCCACGCGGGCGCGTCTACAACTAGTGACATGTTTTTAAAAAATGTCGCAAAAAGAATATTTGGTGGCGCGTTTTAGAAAAATTTCAGAGAACCACAAACATACAAGGCTCTAGTGGCATTTTAATAAAGAAGTGTCACATTACTATAACAAAAATGTGATTTAATAGTATCAATTTTATGGCATTTTATAAAAGAATGACATAAGAAATTATTTTAATGACATTTATCAAAAGATGTCTCAAGAAGTAGAATGCAATTTTCAAAATTACATGGAGCAATTTGTATTTTAATCAAATCTCATTGAGCGTATTTATAATTTACCCTATTTATTTTTTATATCACTTTTTCATTAAATGTGATCATATATATATATTTTTAATCACACATTTTAATTAAAATATAATTATATTTATTTTTTATGTCACTTTTTAATTAAGCCCCATTATATATTTTTTTTAAATCACAATATAACTCTTCCTTTTCAATTCTTTTTGCCTATCTTTTTGATTCATGAGCCTTAATTCAATTTTCTTAGAGAGAAGAAAACGCAAGAAAAGAGGATACACAGAGGCCAACAGACCACTATCATTGCGTCAAAGAGACCACCTTTCACATGAAACATTTCTACAGGCTTATACTATTTCTGTCTCGTTGGACCATTGGATCACTACCATCACACCATTTCCATACAGGTAACGAAACTTCCATTTCACTCTCTATTTTCTGAAATGGGTTTCCATGAGTGAAATAGTTTTGAAATGATTTGATTTCAGTTATGAAATGGTGTGATTTCTTTGAAATGGGTTTCCTAGATAGTTTATGTTTCTATTTTCTGAATCTGAAATGGGTTTATCAAATGGTTTCCATCTTTGATTTCGGATATTAGTCATTAGCACTCTGGCAAATTGTAGTTGACATGAGAACTTTGTTTTTTGGACTTTAGTCCTCATGCTTTGTGAATACTTGTAACCTAGTGCTCTCATGCCTAATATTCTTCACTTGATGAATGTGAGGCATGATCTTGCTTCTTCACAAAAAGCATTCCTAATGATTTCTGTGAAATAGTTGTGAAATGGGTCTCTTTCTAAGAAATGAGTTCTATGGGTTTCTCTTTAATGGGTTTCAGGGGCTTCTAATACATTAAAAGGCAAGAAATAAGGGAAATCAAGCAAAAATGAGGCTGCTTCTGTTTCTAACTTTAACTATCAACTAAAGTTAATAGGAGTTTCTCTAATTAACTTTAGTTCATAAATTTTATTATCGAGTAATGGTTAATTTTTCCATTGTGATTCTGTGGTGGTTTCCACTCCAATGTGATTCATGGCTCATCATCTTATTAATAAATATGATTCATGTTTCTAATTTTCTTATAATTTTTTTATGATTCATGTTTCTTATGTTTGTAATTTTCTTATGATTTTGTGAGTGAAAAGGTGATTATTTGATTCATGGTGTTGGAAGGAATACTTTTCTTTTGTTCAGGTATGAAATGTTCTCCCTTAATTTCTTAAGCTTCTTCTTATATATTTCTTCTCTGTAGATTTTATTTATTTTGGGTGTGTTGGCTTTTTGGCTTTTCGAAGGGTATTTTTGTGAATGTGAGCGTGCCAGCAAGGATCAATCAGTCCTTACAGAAATTATGATTGCCAACCAATTATCAGACGATTGTGTTTTAGTTCTTTTCAGCCTCAATGAAGAGGACTTTTACTGGTGGCTTGAATACAAAATATGTAGCCAACAGGGTGTATTATACGGCATTTAGGTGTATTTTTTTTTTTATCTCTTTAAAATTATGCTATATTTTCTCTTATGTTGGTGTAAATAGGTGGTGCTTTTGGTGTTAGAAAGACTCTTTTTGATTTTAGGTAAGAAACATCTTCTATTCATTTCTCATGCTTATTCTTATTTTTATTGGTTTACACATTTTAAATGTTAAATAACTGTAAATCCTTCATTCACATTTGTTTCCTGTGGTTTTTAATATTACTGTTGGAATTTTTGCTCTATCCCAAATCCCTGTTTATTTATATTAATAATTGTTTTAGTTTAGTTTGGATTTTGTGAGCAGTATGTTAATTGGTGGTGTTTGGTTGGGTAGTGTTGGAACTCATTATTTTTATGACAAAATTTATAGAGAACAAATCTTACTTGAAAGTAATTAATTGATTGTCATTTTTCACAACTATATTTGATTTATATTGTTGAGTTTAAGGGATCTTAATATTGATAATAGGTACGGTTTTGATTGTTGTTGATTGGTGCCTTTGGTTATTATTGATTTTTTAAGCTATTGTTTAATATAGTCTAAAGATTTATAGTTGTTACTTTTATGTAATTTGTTGTAGTGTTGTAAACCAATTAAGTGAGTAAATCATGTGGCTTGCTTATCTAATTGAGAAATGTATATCAATTTCAGTTGCGATCATCTTCACTCTGACACTTTGTGCTAGTTTATTTTTTAAATATTATTTATTAATTGTAAATATATAATTACTTAAGTAGTTAAATCTTGATTTACAGGTAGGGGATATAGTTGTCTCAAAAAGTGTCATTAGGTCAACAAAAACAGTTGCAATTGGAGTACTTAAAAGTACAGACCCATCTAAATAACTAAAAGGGCAAGAACTAGGATCTGACTAATATGGAAGGCACATGTTCAAGTGTCAGTCAAACCTAATGAGAGCTTGATCCGATCATATGGACTTGTCAAAACAATTAGACAAGCTATTGGAACTCATGTTGCTTGGCCTTCTCCATTTGTGGTATATTTCTTTCTTAAATACTAATTTCATTAACAAATTTATATTAACTTAATATAATTTCAATTACCTTTATATATTTATCTTTTGGATGCAGATTTCGCAAGTTATGGATGCTAGTCGAGAAATTTATACCGGTGAGGTTGAGAATTTGGGAACTAAATTTGTTTTGATAATGTCTCTCCGGAAGATGGATATCACTATGGCTTTTCAGAATTTATAGTTGTAATAATTTTCTTTTAATTTTTTTTTTTTGCTTTAACTTTGTTAGTGTGGTGGAATATTTTATAATTTTGATTATGATTTTTATTGCAATATAAATAAATTTATATTTTTAGAGAAAAAAATGATTGTGGTTTGAATTTTTTTTTGATTGTTTTTTATGTGATGATCCTATGGTGGTAATATTTGTTTATTATTATGAAAATATTACAAGATGAATGGATGTCAAATAAATATAGGATGTGGCAATTAATATTCAATTGTTTATAAAATCGATTTAATTTTTACAGGTTTTTACGCATGCTTAATTGTGGCTTTTAAAAGTGTTAAAGAAAAAAGCATATAAGTGACATTTTGTAATAGTGGTAGTAGCTTTGCAAAGTGTCACTAGAATAAGCTCCAATGACACTTATATCTATTTAATGGCACAAATGAGTTGGATTTAGTGACATTTATGAAGTTGTTAAAAGTATCAATTGTAACATAACAAGCACCATTAAAAGTATATTATTGTAAATATTGCTTTTACTGTAGGGATGACCCGTGCCTGAAGGCACTGCTAATAATTTTTTTAGTATCACGTGCTACGAAATTCAATGGTAATAAATCAAATTCAAAATGGTTATATCATTCCGACTTAAAACTTCACATGTAAGAAACTGAAATTGCTTCTACATATTGAATAAGCAAAAGCATTTATAAATTTCAAAATGAAAGTCCAAAAAATGAATTATATATTTGAATGTAGCATATGCAAAGAATTTAGAAATATTTGCTAAATTTAAAGTCCAAATAGCAAATTTTAGATTTTTATCCACGCCATAATGGGATAACTTTCAATAAAAGAATGTTATTGAATTAGTATCATAACTGGTAAACCTTTTGCTTTATCAGGTTTAAATTCCTTCAAATGCAGGTCAGTGAACATTTTGATACAAAAGAATCACTCTAGCTAACCCAAAAATAAATAAATAAATAATTTAACATGAGAGAGCCAACCAACGACACACCGGTAGAAGCAACGTAATCCAATGTTTCTAATATGGATCAATGATCTGCAACAAAATCACTCGCTTAAATTCGCTTCAAAAAACCAATAGCTATGAAAAACCACATCAAAATGCATATGAGAAATCGGAAGAAATTGTAATGAAGAATAATTGCATCAAAAGAAACTGTAACATGAAAAATCACATCAAAATACATATGAGAAATAGGAAAATCAATAACTATGAATTAAGAAGAATTGAACATAATTATAATGGTCAATTGAATTATGTCATTCAATGGCGAAGTGAGAATAGACATATGTATGCATTACTAAAGTAAACAAATGAATAGAAAAGCAAATAATAATATAGATAGATCAATTGAGAATGCCGATAGATCATACAAACCTCCAAATAGAATTAAACTCAAATTTTGTAAGGGGAGCGAATAATTTTCTTTATTAAGACTTAGAGAGTCTTGTTATAAGGAAGAAGAATTTTTGAAGGCTATAAAACCAAACAAAATTAAAATTTTAAACAATTAAAGCTTACCTTGTGTGAAGTATCCATTTTTGGATGATCGTGCTCCTTTGAGTTTCCATCCCTGTGATAATACATAACTCATTTTCTAGTTGAAGCATTATGTATAACAATTAGTAGGCAACAAAAAAATAATCAAACTTGAAATTAATGTTAATGGGCAAATCTAACTAAAATTAAACCCAAGGTTCATTAAATAAAATTAAGTGTACTATTTTTTTAAGCAAAGATTACAACCAAATACTTATAAAAGATACTTACCACAACTGAAAAACGAAAGAGAGAGAATGAAACTGAATTAAACATAATTAAGTAGAGAAACGGAACAGTTAAAAATATAATGAGAAACACATAATTAATACTCCAAATGATATAAACAAAATAGTTACATAGGGGAACTAAATTAAACAAAATAAAGATAAGTTTTTGAAATTCAATACATGAAAATTGATTTTAGAACCCATTCAAAAACCCATTTTAATAATTGTGCTGGTTCATTTATCATTTTAATATTTTTGGAATCAAAACCATTCAGAAACACATTTAAATCTAACCCATTTAAAAAAATCATTACATGACAATGGGTTTCTAAAATCTAAACCATTTCAAAAAATCATTACATGAAATTCATGGCTTTTTCTCACCTTATACCCAACACCACATTTGCCTCAAACCAATCAATTGACCTGCTTACTAAAAAAAAAAAAAAGGGATTACATACTTTTCACTTTCTAGGTGATTGATAACATGTTGTTTCAAATATGATACATAATAAAAAAATTATATGTGCTTTTAAAAAAAATTGACACTCGAATTCTATGATCCAAATCATTCTAGAGTATTATGTATATATTATTAATAAAAAAAAATTTAAATTAATTTAATAATTGTAATTTTTTATATTATATAATTTATTTATGAAAAAATAAATGATAAATATATATTTAAAATTTAAGTGAAAGTATAATTTTTTGGATAAATTACAAATACACTCCTGAGGTTTGATTAAAATACAAATTGTCTCCTGTAATTTGGAAAATTACAAATACATCCCTGTCAGAATTTTTTATTTAACAAAAATAATTGAAAAAGTGAAATTTCTAACTGTTCACCTATACAATAATAAAATTATTTAAATTATTAATTGAAATAAAATTTTAACATTATTAAAAACTATTAATTAACTTGATAATTTACCAATAAAAGGACCTATTTGTTATGAAATTAGAAACCTTAGAGGATATAATGTAATTTTTAGAACCACAGGGGTAATTTATAATTTAAGTAAACCTTAAGGGATGTGTTTGTAATTTACCCTCTTTTTTTTTTATCACAACTTACAATCCTCACTCTGAAAGTAAAATAAAAAATGAGAGGAGAAGAAGAAGAAGAAAGAAAGAAAGAAAAAAAGAACATCACATGACATATTTCAAAAAATTACTTAAGAATATAAAATCTAGATAGAAGTATTTAGGAACATTACATATTTTCTTGGAAAAAAAGTAGAAAATTTAAAATTTACTTAGCAAAAGTGTCACCCTTAAAAAATATATAAAAACAACACCCAAATAGTACACATTAAAATTTATTTAAACTACTAAGACAACTGTGCCACTTAGAATGCTATTTAGGATAAAGATGAAAGAGAAATGTACTTCCAGACATTATCATATCTTTTCAAACAAATTGAACAAAATATGCACAATTTGTTGCTCACTCAAGATTGCCACTCTTTCAATATTTTAGACAAAGTATGCACAAAGTGCACATTTAGTTTAGAGTAAAGACTAAAGATTAGAGTAAAGATTATCCAAAAATTAAAGATTAGAGTACAGATTATCCAAAGATTACCCAAAGATAGAAATATAAATACTAAGGAAAAAGCCCAGGTTTGCTCACCTAAACAGTATGTATACCGGATTATTCATGAGATGAGAGAAAACAACTCAGAAAATTTCCATAAATGATTAAAAAACATGAAGAGAGTGAGAGTGGGGAGACTGAGACCTTGAGGGGAAGAGAGAGGTGTTACCTGAATACGATGACGACCACCGAATCAACGAAGAGCCGATGAAGCAACAAAGAACCACCGAAGCAATGATGATGAATCGGTTTGAATACAACCACTGTGGCAAAGAAAGAGAGAGAAATAATGTTGATGAAATGGGTTTGGGCGGTGAAGGGAGAGTGAAATGGGTTTGAAATGTTTTCAACTTTCAAACTATATCCAATAGTGAAATGAACAATCTATAACTCAAAAAGTAATGTATTTTGGAACTCTATAAATGAATTTAATGTATCAAGGAAAAATTAGAATGTAATAAAGAACAAATTAAATAAAAGGAAACTAAGGGTATATGAGTTATAATTTTGGAGGACTACCTGAATTTTTACTCAAATCTCTAAAGTCATAAAGTTTAAAATTACTCCTAATAATTCCAGAATGCCAATATAACTCATTTCCTCGAAGTTTCATATTTTTCCCACATGGAATCAAATGCTTCTCAACCTTCTCTCCCTTCTCTCTGTAATTTAGCAGTTAACAACATATGGTGTTTCTTCTAACTTTTCTGCGACAACCTTCTAACTTTCTAACTTTCTTCAAACTTTCTTTCTTCGTTAATTTAGCAGTTAACAACCTTCTAACTTTCTAACTTCATTAACAAATTCAAATTACAGAAAGCTAGGGTCTGTAATTTAAAACATTGCTATGAGCATTGCAAGGAGTGCATAAGAACCAATTCCACCAGTATACACCTGTATATTGAAGACTCTAAAATTAGTCAAATCAGAAGAAAAAGTTAGTAGTAAAACTGATCACAATAAAATAAATAAATCCACACCTCATTTAACTCTCTTTGCTGCAGAAAAACTTTTAAGATCAAACACAATGGCCGTAATGGGGGCATCTTAGATACAGCATTCTGAAAAGAGAACCACATATATATTAGAAATTGCAAAAACCAAATCAAAGGAACTCGTGCATTTACATTTACTATGTGTTCATAACTAATCAACTATTTACCCAACTATTATGTGTGGGTGTCTATATACATCAATCATGAGAATAATCAAAAGATTATATCATAGGGAGAGACATCAAAACAAACCTTTATGAACTCAGCAGCTTTTGGTCCGTTTTGCAAATCAAAACTATAACAAAAAAGATACAACAAATATATAATAAGATCAACATTTACTGTCAAAAGAACATAGATTAAAAAGTGCCAAGGGAAAAACTTAAGAAACGTCCTAGCAGGCTGCCTAAAGACCTTTCTAAGCTACATGGCATTCAAGAAATCACCAATATAGTATTTGTCGAAACTTGAAATACCCACACAGAACCCTTCAATGATTTTATATATCCAATCAATTCGGTGCATACAAAAATGTTAAGACAGAAAAAATAAATTGTAAAGACAAAAAATAATAATAATAATAATAATAATAATAAAAAAACAAAATAAACAAAAAAATGGGTGAAGTAAATGGGTAGCCTAAATGCAAACACACTCATGAATGCTTTAGCAGGAAATTTGTTGAATACAATGAAAATGATAAATTTTGATTGAACCTTATATCAAATGCAACGCCACTTCTCTTCTCTACAAATTTGACGATTGGCACACGTGCCTTAGCAATAACCTGAAAAGTTAAACAAAACACATGTTAGATATTAATAGTTAATAATAATTATTTTTTAATTGTCAAATGAGGCACACCTGTATCTTCTTTGCGATGCCTCTTTGAGATAGGGCCCTAGCAAGGGCTTGCAAACCAATTTGTGGAGTTTTAATATCTGACCCCAGAATCACAACCTACAGTTTGGCAATTAGGTAGCCTAGTTATGGTGACAATATTTAATCATCAAATTTGTTCATCAACAAACAAATCACACCTCAACAATCCAGAACTGGATAAGAAAAAGAAAATTATCATTCTCAAAGGAATATTCATCTGAATACAGTTTGGCATTATAATAGACGTCAACACACTGTCCGTAGTGGAAAGATCATTTCGTAAAATCAATCGGTGGTGGCAATGGCCTTATCAAACCCCGATGGTTACACATTACCCTGATGGCCGGAACAATGCCATCAATGACAGGAGGGACTTTTATACAATCAATGAGAGGTTGCAAACCGTCGTCGCACAAAAGATGGTTGTATTGGACTCTTCGAGCCTGATTTTCACAGGCAATCACAGTTCCAGAGTGCCATGACCCCCGAAACCCGTCTTCAACACTCCTTACCTGGACCAATTTTCACATTTTAATGCAAAATCAAAGAAACCCAACTGAAGAACAAACCAGTAAACAAAAACAACTATGAGCAGAGTTCTCTTATTAAACCCCGATAAACAATCATTGATCAAAAAAAGAAAGCATTGATGAAACACAGACTTGTTTATCTAATGGATTCCCAAGTTAAACTTGTGATAGAAATATAAATACTAAAGAAAAAGCCCAGGTTTGCTCACCTGAACCGTATGTAACGCCATTGTTCCCTTTTGCCTCATCATCTCATCTTCTTTTTTGCAGCCCCCTTGTTCCTCTTTTGCAACGGCTCCGTCGTCAATGGGGTTTGGGGCTGCCATTGCTGATGAAGATTAGGAGAGAGAGGGAGGAAGAGAGAAGATGATGAGAGGGAATGGGCTCCGACAGGGAAGGTTGGGCTCTGATGGAGAAGAGAGAGAGAGAGAGAGAGAGAGAGAGAAAGAGGGGCTGCGTGTTTTCAAAATTTGAAATCAAAAACAGATGAATGGGAGAGACAAATGGGAGTGAGTGAGACTGAGAGGCTGTCTGTCCAAAATGAGAGACAAATGGGGTGGGATATTTTGAGCCCTTAGATTAACTCAATCTAATGATCCAAATTTTGACACAAGTATAAAAGTCACATCAAAATTCAAAAACTGAGCTGCCTTATTATATAGATTTTGATTATGATTTTTATTGCAATATAAATAAATTTATATTTTTAGATAAAAAAAGGATTGTGGTTTGAATTTTTTTTGTTTTGATGTGATCCTATGGTGATAATGTTTGTTTATTATTATGAAAATAATACAGGATGAATGGATGTCAAATTAATATAGGATGTGGCAATTAATATTCAATTATTTATAAAATCGATTAAATTTTTATAGGTATTTACACATGCTTAGTTGTGGCTTTTAAAAGTGTCAATGAAAAGAACATATAAGTGGCATTTTATAGTAGTGGTAGTAGCTTTACAAAGTGTCACTAGAATAAGCTCCAATGAACCTTGTATCCATTTAATGGCACAAATGTATTGGATTTAGTGGCATTTATGAAGTTGTTAAAAATATCAATTGTGGCATAATAAGCGCCATTAAAAATTCATATAGTGACATTTTTTAGATTGTAAGTCTTCTTTAATGGTACTTGATAGAGTCACGAATATTATCTAACATGACATTAAAGTATCACTAAAAGTCTTTAACCCTGATGGTGTAATGGCACTTACAAGTGTCACTAAGACTTTTTTTAATGACACTTGATAGTGTCACAAATAGTGTTCATCATGACATCAAAGTGTCATTGAAAGTTTTTAGTCATGATGGTGTAGTGGCACTTGCAAGTATCTATCGTAGCATGGGTATAAATGACATTTGTTCAAAACGCCACAAAACTAGAAAATGTCACTGAAAGAGTAGTTCAGTGACACTTTCAAGTGTTACTAAACTAAGAAAATGTTGTAGTGATCCATTATTGGGCCACTTTGTAAAATTTTATGAAATTTGAGACTAAAATGCAATTAACCTAAGGCTTAGGGTTTCAAGTGTAGTTAGCAAAATTTAAGGTCTCTACAATAGTTCTGCTAGACACTAAAATTGGCATAATCTAATTAGCTCAACATTTATATCAACTTGGCCATAACCTAATTATTAGAGAATTATGTTAGTCTATACCTAAGTCTGAACCACTTAACTCATTTATTTATCAAATTGTTGAATAAATATATGTTAATATTTTTTGAAATAAAATATATAAGAGTTGACTTCAGTATTCATAATTGTGTTAGACACTAAAAGTGACATAATCTAATTAGCTCAACATTTATCTTAACTTGGCCATGACCTAATCATTAGAGAATTGTTTTAATCTATGCCTAAGTATGAACTACTTAACTCATTTATTTATTGAATTGGTGAATAAATATATGTTAGTATTTTTTATAATAAAATAAAAATATGTACATATTTATTAAAAAAAATTAAAATTTTGATAAAATTTTATATTTATATTTAAAATTATTGAGAATTTATAGTTGTGCTAGACACTAAAAGTGAAATAATCTAATTGACTCAACATTTATCTCAACTTGGTCATGACCTAATCAGTAGAGAATTGTCTCAGTCTATACTTAAGTATGAACTACTTAATTCATTTATTTATTAAATTGGTGAATAAATATATGGTAGTATTTTTTTTAATAAAATTATAAATTTGTGCATGTTTATTCATAGTTATTTAAAGAAATTAAGATTTTGATAAAATTTTAAATTTATATTTAAAATTATTGAGGATTTATAGTTATGCTAGATACTAAAAGTGACATAATCTAATTAACTCAACATTTATCTCAACTTAGATATGACCTAATTATTAGAGAATTGTCTTAGTTTATGCCTAAGTATGAACCACTTAACTCATTTATTTATTAAATTGGTAAATAAATATATATTAGTATTTTTTATAATAAAATATGTAAGAGTTGATTTGAGAATTTATAATTGTACTAGACACCAAAAGTGACATAATCTAATTGACTCAACATTTATCTCAACTTGGTCATGACTTAATCATTAAAGAATTGTATTAGTCTATGCCTAAGTATGAACCACTTAACTCATTTATTTATTAAATTGGTGAATAAATATATATTAGTATATTTTTTAATAAAATAATAAATATGTACATGTTTATGCATAGTTATTAAAAAAAATTAAAATTTTGATAAAATTATTGAGGATTTATAGTTGTTTGCAAGACACTAAAAGTGATATAATCTAATTGACTTAACATTTATTTTAACTTGGCCATGACATAATTATTAGGGAATTATCTTGGTCTATATTTATGTGTGAACCACTTAACTCATTTATTTATTAAATTGGTGAATAAATACATATTGGCATTTTTTATTATAAAATATATAAGAGTTGACTTAAAAATTCATAATTGTGTTAGATACTAAAAGTGACATAATTTAATTGACTCAACATTTATTTCAACTTGGCCATAAACTAATTATTAGAGAATTATCTTAGTCTATATCTAAGCATGAACCACTTAACTCATTTATTTATTAAATTGGTGAATAAATATATGTTAGTTTTTTTTTTTTATAATAAAATATATAAGAGTTTGCTTGAGAATTTATAATTGTGCTAGATACTAAGAATGACATAATCTAATTAACTCAACGTTTATCTCAACTTGACTATGACCTAGTCATTAAATAAATATCTTAGTCTATACCTAAACATGAATCATTTAACTCATTTATTTATTAAATTGGTGAATAAATATATCTTAATATTTTTTTAATAAAATAATAAATATGTGCATGTTTATGCACAATTATTAAAAAAATTTAAACTTTGATAGAATTTTGTATTTATATTTAAAATTATTACATGAATAACTAAGTGTATTTATGTGTGAAAAAATTATCCAAAGTCAACCTAAAATATGGGTACTGTTCTAATCAAACTTTGGATCTTATTTAAAATTTTGATTGATCAATTAATAGAAATAGTTGGTAATAATCTTTTTAAATTTTATGTTCAAATTATATTATAATTTCTCAAGTTTTAAATATTATGAACTAATTTTAGAAATAGTACTCGCATTAAACATTAAAAGTTGTTTAGAAGTTAGATTAAAATCAATTTTTATGCCAACAATTAAATTCTTAAAGAATTATCTTCATTCATACACAATTCATGATCACTTAATCCAATTATTGTTTTTTTTTATAAAATCGGTAAATATATTAATATTACTTTTTATAACCAAAATAAGAAAATGTATGTATATTTTAGGCATATTTATTTATTTTTTGTAAAAAAATTATATATTTATATTAAAAATTCTTACACAAATAATTAAGTATATTTATGTATGACAAAATTATATAATACTGGGTGATCACTTAATCCAATTATTGTTTTTTTTTATAAAATCGGTAAATATATTAATATTACTTTTTATAACCAAAATAAGAAAATGTACGTATATTTTAGGCATATTTATTTATTTTTTTGTAAAAAATTTATATATTTATATTAAAAATTCTTACACAAATAATTAAGTATATTTATGTATGACAAAATTATATAATACTGGGTCAACCTAAAATGTAGAGCTTGTTCTAGTCCTATCGTGGGTTCGATTTAAAAATTGATCAATTAATTAGTGAAAACAGTTAATAATAATCAATTTAAATTTATGTTTAATAATTTGTTAAGTTATGATGGGTATCAGCTAATACTGGATTAAATACTAAAAGTAGTGTAGAAATTAGATTTGGTTGATTTTTATGCTATAAATCACTTCAATTTTTAGATAATCGTTTTGGTTCATACACAACTGTCACTTTGCCCACTTATTTATTTTTTTAATTGGTAAAAATATTGTAAATTTTTTTATAACCAATATAAAAGAATATGAATATATATTTTGCATAGTTATTAATATTCTAAAAATTCAAAAAGAAATTATATATTTATTCTTAAATTATGTCTAATTAAATTATATTTACATCTAAAAGAATTATTTAAGATCAGATTAAGGTAGTTCATAAATTTTAAGAAATTTTTATTTAATACAAATTATTGCATAAAATACTTAATATTTTAAAAATACTTAATATTTTAAAAATAATTAACTGTTTGAGAAATGAAGTTATCATTATAAAAAAACACTAAAAAAATTGTATTTTAGTGGCGTGAAAATATATTAACTAAAGAATTAAATTGATGAGATATAGAATTTTTTTTTAAAAAAAAACAAAATCAATGAATGTAGTTAATAGGAAGGGTGCTTATAATCGTACACACTTAATTTCTTTACACACCCATCATATATATTAAAAAAAGGAGTTTTTTTGATAAATCATCTTTCTAAGAGTTTTATTCTATCCAACCCATATTCCTTTTGAGTATTCCATTAAGTCCTATTTGAGGTAAGAAAACCAAAACACCGTCAATCTCTTCTACTCCTATTAATGTTGATATTTAATGTTGATTGTCATTACGTTTTGGTAGTTTCCATGTATCAAGATGTTGATTATCAATATATTCATATTAATTTGAAATGAATTTTTGTCATTGTGTTGTCAATTAAATGATGTGAATATTCACATCATGTATATGAAATGAATATTCACATTAATTTAAAATGAATTTTTATCATTTTATTGTTAATTACATGATGTAAATATTCATACTAAAACATACAAATATGAACGTTCACATCACTATGTTAGATGAGAGAG